CTTGCCCTCCGTGAGCTACACTCAGTGTCCAACAAGTCCCAGTGAGATGAACCAGGTACCTCAGTTGGAAATGCAGAAATCACCCACCTTCTCTGTCGATCACACCAGGAGCTACAGACCGGAGCTATTTCTATTCGCCCATCTTGGAAAGGAACTTTTTCAAGAAAGTCTCTTTTAAATAGCAATTTTTAAAAGTACAATATTTAGGAATAAACAGCAATGTTCAAAACCTACATAAAGAAAAATAAACATTCTTAAAACATATAAAAGTAGGACTGTACAACTGAAAAGAAATACCCTGTCCTTGGTTAGAACATCTCAACATCAATAGGTCACAAACTTACAAATCATAAAGCTTTTCATGGAGTTAGACAAGTTGATACTGAAGTTCAAATGGAAAAAGTTCAAGAAAAACTGGGAAATACTGAAAATAAATAGAGGGGACTACCTCATTAACACATACTACAGGCATTAAAACATACTATAAGGCCTCTATAATGAAAACAGTGTAGGACTGCTACATGAACAGGCAGAAAAGTGCAAATGAACAGAAAGTCCAGAAATAGATTCCACTACAGATAGAAATCTAATCTCTGTAAAGGTGATATAACAAATCATTAGCACATTTATAGTCATTTTAAACAATAGACAAGAAAAAAAGATAAAATTCAATGTTTCTCACATCATACATAAAAATAAACTGCAAATGGATCAGAGATCTAATTGTAAGAAAACTACAAGTATTTTTAAAAGTGTGAGAGGAGGGTGGGGGCAGGAGAGAGGGATTCCTCCTAAACTAAGAATTCATAAAAGGCTTTCTCACTAGGACTAAAGTACAAATATAAAACTTTTGCAGGACAAAAATACATCAGAAAATAAATAATAAAACAGGTAACAAACTGGAAGGAAACTTTTGCAACATATATCACAGATAAATGCCTAATATCCCTACAAAGAACTTCTAAACTGAGGGGGAAAAGCCCAAATATCCTATGGAAAGTGGCTCTTACACATATGAAAAGACATTCAACTCCACACATAAAAGATGAATACAAATTAAATGTATCCAACATTCCATTTCTCACCTATCACTTGGCAAAAATTGAAGTTTCACAATGCACTCTGTCTGCAAGGCTGTCAGGAAATAGGCACTCTCATACACTGCAGTGTGGGAAGACAAAATGTTACAGCCCCCATGCAGGGGACTGGGTAATACTCTAATACAACCATGTAAGTATTTGCCCTTTGAACCTTTTTGTTGTTGTTGTTAGCAACAAAGTCTCACTCTGTCACCCAGATTGGATGTAATGGCTCTATCATAGCTCACTGCAGCCTTGAACTCCTGGGCTCAAGGGATCCTCTCAAGTAGCTGGGATTACAGAGGCAAGTCACTGCACCGGGCTTAGTATTTGCCCTTTCAACCAGCAATCCCATTTCCAGGAATTTGCCCTGAAGATACACCTCTAAAACTATGAAAATAAATATCACTGCAGCATGTTTGTAATTGCAAAATATTGAAAACTACTTAAATGCGCAAGCATAAGAGATTGGTTGAATAAACTATGGCACACACAAAGTAGTAAGCACCTGCAAAAACGAGTAAGGAAAATCTCTACAAACTGGTATGAGGCAATTTCCAAGAGATACTGATACATGAAAAAACTGAACTGCAAAAGAACATACATGCTACTTTTTAGGTTAAAAAAAAAAAGAAAAGAAACATAAATATCTCTGCATATCTTTATAAAAATGAGTAAAGCCCAGAAAACAATAAAATTGGTTTCCTACAAAGTATGGGGTGGAATGGGGAGGATGGAGTGACAATTTTCTGGTATATCTTTTTGTACAGTTTTACTTTTTGGAAAAGTAAGTAATTTTCTACATATTCAAAAAATTAAATCAATAAGGATATAAAGAAAAGGGGGCACAAAAGCTGAAAGAAAACTAATACGAGTGAACTATATTCCAAATTAATATCATAACCACACTTAAGGAATAAGGAAGAAAGAACTAAGTAATTATGAGACTAGTATTTGGTTACATATTCACAGGAATGAGTACAGAAAGGAGGGAGAACTTCAAACAATTTTCAAACTTTTTTGGTGTATTTGTTTCTTATATGATTAACCAATTTTGAAACTGCTTTAGATCTATTATTTAGTTAAACAAAAGAGTAAATGTGTTGATACTGTTGGACGCCAAGGTTCTCACTATGAAAGATGGGACATATAAATATGAGAAGCAAGCAAGAAAGAAACCTGCATGGATGGATTAGAATTAGAGAAACTGGTGTATCTCTAAATAAAAAACAATATGCAGATGTATGTGTCCACATGTTTTTCAATATGCATTTGTGTATATAGGTATAAATGTAGATGTATATGTATATATAAAGCTTATATATTTCCTACCTCTGTCCTCTAAAAGGGCCTAAAAGCCAAGACCCAGTAGCAATCAACACACTAGTGCCAAGATCTTGTTCGCTAATATTGTTCCCCACTAAAAACAATCAGAGCTTCTCAGAGAAATGGCTGCTTCCAAAGCTGGGGGAGAACATATAAAAGACAACCCTGCAACAGCTTCTTTTGTCAGAAATTAAGGAAGCACTGAAATATGCGATGGAGGACTGTCATGCACTTCAACTAACCAAACCTGGGCAATTTGAGTACCAAAAGCTCTCTGACTTCTAAGGCTGTTTGGTCTTCCCAATCTTACCTTTTGAAATTCTGTCCCATAATTGTCCTTTCCTCTGTTTCCCCTACCTAACCAGAAACATCCATCACTACAGTTGTGTCCTGTCTCTAGCACTCCATGATACAGTTTTCTGGCCAATTTTTTTTTTTTTTTAAACAAATCCACAAAGAAAATCTTATGTTCTGGATTCCAACTCTTGTACATTTATCAGAATGTTCTATGCTCACAATAAGCAACTAGAGGGCAGACTGAGTATTTTTCACTACTGTTTGCCCAAGGCCAAGTACAGAGCCTATTCTTTATTAGCAATTCGGTAAAAATTTATTCAACTGAAATGTTTAATTTATTCCATTGCTCATGGTTTTCCTCTTTCCAGCAAACACTAAGAATAGTCTATTTTCTCCCTTTCATTCATCCATCAAATCTTACTGGGATCAGTTCTATGCTCACTTTCTAATTCAGCAGTCACCAACCTTTTTGGCACCAGGGACTCGCTTTGTGAAAGACAGTTTTTCCACGAATGGGGAAGGAGGTGGGGAGAGATGGTTTCGAAATCAAACTGTTACACCTCAGATCATCAGGCATTAGATTCTCATGAGGAATGAGCAACCTGGATCCCTCGCATACACAGTTCACAATAGGGTTGGCACACCTATGAGAATCTAATGCTGCTGCTGATCTGACAGGAGGCAGAGCTCACCTGCTCACCATTCACCTCTTGCTGTGTGGCCCCGTTCCTAATAGGCCATGGACCGGTCTCACTCCATGACCAGGGGGTTGGGGACCCCTGTTCTAAATGATGACTGCTCAATCACTCCAATCCTCAAAAATGTCTGCATGTTTAGTCCCTTCGGTACACAAGGGTCATACCAGTACCATTTATATGTAGCAATATTAGAAAGTATGTTTTATGTGGCATAACATCACAATTTCGGAAGTTGTCCATATCTCTTATTTTGAGTAAGATAAATAAATGTGGAAAGAAGTCAGTCTGTGCACATGTTAAAGGAAAAAATTTAAAAGATTGTTTGTTTGTTTTGAAAAAAAAAAAGGATGCTCTAGTCAAGTAAATTTGGGAAATACTGAATTAAACTAAGTTACAACAGGTTCTCAGGTCCTTTAATACATGAGCATATAATGGGATTCTCTTATGGGAAAGTATTCAGTGCTTTCCAGATTTATGTGACCATGGGATCTTTACATTCCAAGCATCTCCTGGAAAAAATATATCATAGAACACACTTTGGAAATGTTTACTACACTATGACTGGCAGAAAACATCTTAAGTATCTGTGAACATGAGACGATGCTGCCATGGCCAAAAGAAAACACCTGATTAATACTACCAGGGTGACATGAAGCTTTCTACATGATATACAAAGTAACTACTGATTCAAATTGCAATTGCTTAAAGACCAAAAGCTTGCCGAGTTCTAAATTAACTATCTGTCTACTCCTGGGCCCCCACTAAAATTCTGGTGTGAGTTTCCACTTCCTCTTCCAATTCTTGAACTACAGATAACCAACTCCACTATGAGCACCCCACAATTACCACACACATACACACAGAAAAAATGAGAGGTCTGAATTATGGCAGTGCTTCTCGGAGTTTAATATTCATACGAATGACCTAGGAATTTTGATGAAACACAGAATCTGATTTAGTAGGTATGGGGTTAGGCCTGAGATTGTGCATATCTAGGAAGATCTCAGGTAACACCAATACTGTTTATGTACAGACCATAGTTTGGGTAGTAACTGTATAATGCATATCAGGACAAAATGTTGAGGCCTCTAACTCATATCCAATGGCTATGTCTTTCAAACTACTTTCCAAAGATTTAATTCTTCCATTGGAAAACAATTAACTTTCATTCATTTATAAAAACAGAAACTGTACACAAAACTGAAGATACACTTAAATCCCTATTATCTGCTGATGATTACGTTTTACTAGAAATGGCAGTTTCCTGCAGAGAGCCATAACAGTACAATTATCTAAAATCATTTTTAATCTAAATCTTCGTTCTACCTCTATTTCCAAATGCCCACACCAACACAGAAACACATTGACTTTCATGGCAGCCAGGAACTGTCTCCAATTTTACTGACTTACAATGCTGCAATTGTAGGCCCTGCCCCCAACCAAAAAAGACATGTATAAAGCTAGCATCTTTCTCAATGATTTACTAAAAGCAGCAGCTCATTTTAATAAAACCATCCTAAAACATAAAATTGATTGAACCAACTGCTGTGTTGGGCATACACAACAGCTGATCAAAATCATTCAAGAATTTTATTCTTACAGATTTTCTTTCAGGCTTTGAGAATTTTTCTCCCATTCCACACTTTTATCTTGATATTGGTATCACTGAAATAAAGAAAAAAAAAAGGATCTTTAAATCTATGAAATAGTTTTTAAATACAAAGTAGATCAATTCAAGAAAATATTTTAATAAACTGACTCACATACAACTTAATGTACATACAAAAGCTAATAACCACTTTTCTAGAACGTAATTTGTGTAACAAAATTAAGGGTTTATACTGAGTAACCTCTTACGATGTCAAACACTTTGTGGCTTTTCCTAGGCACAGCACTGTCATTTAGCAAAGTATTACAAAATTACACAAGACATATTGCCCTCATTCCTTAACAAGGAAAACTTTGTAAAATTAGATAGTAATTCTCTTTACGCTTCTTGATATTAAACACTGAGATTTTATTTCACTAAAACATAAAGATACTCATTTCTTTGCATGTTACATGATGCCTTCATTTGACTTTTCATAATTAAGTAATTTTAGAGTATTTTTGTCACAACGAAGGACAAAGATAAGCCAATTGTTTAGATTCCTCTCCTTTATGTTGTGTCTTTGATCACTAACAATGCTCTGTGAACAGCCAACAGAAGGCTGACATTTCATAAAATATGCAGTGATAAAAACTAATACTGTAGCATCTGGGAGTGATATATAAAATGCAGAAATACACCTAATAACTGTGATCTTAAATTACAAGTTACTAAAAGCTAAATAAAAGGCATACCTAAGAACAAAAAAATAGCAAGATTAAAAAAGGTTTTCTTATACCTCTCTTTCTAAAAACAAAGTTTTTAAAATAGTTTAAGTCCATTAGACTTTTCTTACTACTCTACAACTTAAAAGCCCATTACTTTCTAAGAACAGGGTATCTGTACTATGCACCTCTCAACAACTGAAGAACATGTTACAAAACCACCAATGAAAGACCCTGTTCAAAATGCAGAGGAAGTTTTTCTTCTCAGATACTTAAAAATGTTATAACCGCTAACGAAGTAAAACAACACATAACTTTTATGACAAGATGCCAGAGAGAACATCTAAAATAAAATTTAAAGTCCATAATAATCTAAACAAATATACTCAATACCAGTATTAATACATCCTTTCACAATCTAAGCCTTAAAGGCCTTGATAAACCACAGGAAGCAAGTAAAATGTGCTCAAATATGTTTAAATAATTTTACCTTTACTACTAAACATTTGTTTTTTAATAGTAAGAAGCAGGGAAATCACACAATAAAGACAATCCTTTATTTTTACTTTTGAGAGCAAACATTTGAATTTATCTTCATAGCATTTGGTTTAATAGTCCACCTATATCCATCAAAATCACAGTCCAGCAGAAGTGTCTTATTGTTTTTTTTTTTAATATGTATGCTAAAGGGAAATGAAAAAACAAAGGCCATATTCAGCACTTCAAGAACTCTGAATTACACTTTGACTAAAGAAAATACACATTTAAGTATGTAGGAAGCAAGTGTCCTTGTGCTTATAATTAGCATCTGATTTCAGGGATTTTACTATTTAAGGCATACTCACTACCTGTTATTCTTACCATGGTTTTTTATGTCACTTAATAGAGATAAATATTCTCTTCCCTTCTCATATTTACATCAACGATATTGAATTTTTTTAAAGCTGTTAAAATAGGCTAAACACCCATCTCAACATCACTCTTCATCTCCAACTGGACAAAGAATGGCATTACAAGACTGAGAACAGAGAAGGCACATTTACATTCATAACGTTCCTAACTGTAACATTTATGTAAATTATGTTTTTATATTTAACAATTTTTAGTTTCACTGCATATTTTGCCATTCTTTCAATATTAACTTTCTATGGTTATTACAACCTCAAAAAATCATGCCTATGAAATATGACATTGTTCAAGCCACTAGAAAAAAACACCTGAAGCTAAAATAACATATCTAAGAACAACATATCTACCTTTAATCTAATCTTATTCTCCTACAAAAGATAGCTTTAGTACATTAACTAAAAATTCCTAACTGAGTTTAGAAAATCTTCCTTTTGGAATTATTTTCATTATCTTTTAACTATTTCATATGAGTTTACATATCACATAAATGACATAAAATTCACTATAATTATTTTAATGTCAGGCACCTATTAATCATTCTTTCCATTATGTTGTCTACTGAATTTACCCAGATATACAGCATTACGTGTATTTAGAAGAATTAAGTTGGACCATTTGAAAACCTACACTTTCCAGAATAATTTACCCTATCAAAATTTATTTGTGAAGTCAGAAAAATTATAAATACCAATGACAGCAGAGGGAAAAAACGAAGGCAATTTTCTAGGTTTTCTGATTGTCAAAAAAAATGACAAACCACATTCCTCAACTGTAACTAAGCAGGTAATTATGAAATTAGCTGTAGAGCATCTTTCTCTCTCTTCCAGAATATAAAGTCCATGAAAGCTGAGTCCATACCTTTGTTGTTTAACTTTTTAATCAATGGTGCTTGAGTGTAGGAAACCAATTAAGATTTATGGGAAAAAATAAGTGGGCATTTGTAATGAACTATACTTGGCTAAGAGAGATTCAAAGAAATATAACATGGTCCCTGCTTTTCTAACACTTAAAATCCAGTCAGCAACATAGGACCTAGACCCAAGTAAAACACAAAAGCAAGTAATAGTACAAAATACTGAACAGGAAGTGCTTTGTGAGTAGCAACAAAGCAAAACAGGAATTCAGATGATGGTGAAATCACAGTAGAATCACTGCAGAAAGACTTCACAGAGGGGGCAAGACAAGAGCTGAAAGTTGGAAAAAAGTATGTTAAGATTTAGTGGCCAAAAAAAAAAGTAGAAAGGACATCATAGAGTAAAATGCAGAAAAGACATAAAACACTGAGAAATGGAAAAGGATATGCCAATGTAAAAATATTCTCAGTATGTTGGGACCATCCTGACAAAAATGAAAGCATTTTTGTTACTGGCCAGTGGAGGAAAAAACTAGGACAAATTTACGAGAGAACCTCAAATACCAGGCTGGAAAGTTTCAATCTCTAGGCAAAGTGGGGCCAATGAAGGTTCCTAAGCAGGAGATTGTCTGGGTAAAAGCAATGCTTTAGGAAGATTAATCTGACAGCAATGCACAGGACAGATTTGAGGATAGCAGGGATACAAATTAAGAGACTTCTAAAGTATTCCAGGAATAAGGCTGCAGAAGAGTCATCTAGGCTTTTGAGAATGCTATAGAACTAGCAGGAGCAAAAACTACTAAGACAATACATTGACTAATGAGATATAATGGGTAAGAGAGAACAAGACAAGAAATTCTTAGATCTAAGATAAAGAGCCTAAAGGATAACAGGAGGGAACAAAGAATGGCTGGATCTGACTGGAGCGAACAAGTCAGTGGCAAGACGATGCTTCCGGTTCCAGATATTCACTGTGAGGGGACAGAGAGATGGAAACATAAAAATGAGATCAAATGTAGAGCTATATATTTTAGAGTTCTCTGTGAATATGTAATAGTTTAAAATCTTGAAAAGAAGGGAAGAATAAAGGGCAGAGGCTGAAAATTATACTACACTAACAAAATCTATAAAATACACCTGAGGAAATTAACTAAAGTCAAATAAAATGGAATGACTAAGATAGTTCCAGTCCGGAAGGAATAACTCAAAAAAAGAGAATACAGGCCCATAAAGAGAGTACTTGCAAAAACTTTACCCAACATTGTTAAACAAACAGGGTCTTAGAATGTACTGCAAGGAAGAATAACTTTTTATATTCTGGGGTGTTTTTTTCGAGAGAGAGGCTATGTTAGGATATAAACGAGAGACAAAAACTAAGTATCTGAGGAAACTAAAAAACTTTTAAACATATAATTTCTTATTGTTTTGTTTCACTAAAAGAAAATGCTAGAACATTTTCCTTTTAGAAAGTCCTGATTCCATATTACATGCAAAGTAACTGTCCATACAAGATTAAAAGAAAAACACTTTCATGTGCTTTTTATGCTTTATATATCAATTATATTCACTTTCGTATTTTTTCGCATCTGCATTAGCTCTTATTACTACTCTCTCAAGTTTAGACCAGTATCCATATAAACTATACACTATATTTTTATATTTCTTAAATGCTATAAAATATTACAATGAGAAAAAAGTCTAACAAGTATTGTACCTATTTTTAAAAATACACATACTCAGCCAGGCACGGTGGCTCACGCCTGTAATCCCAGCACTTTGGGAGGCTGAGGAGGGTGGATTACCTGAGACCAGGAGTTTGAGACCAGCCTGGCCAACACGGCGAAACCCCTTCTCTACTAAAAATACAAAAAATCAGCCAGGCGTGGTGGCAGATGCCTGTAATCCCAGCTACTTGGGAGGCCAGGCAGGGGAACTGCTAGAACCCAGGAGGTGGAGGCTGCAGTGAAGCCGAGATCACGCCACCGCATTCCAGCCTGGGCAACAAGAGTGAAACTCTGTCTCGTGGGGAAAAAACTAACACACATACACACAATTTTTTGCATGGTACAGCCTACAGTAGAATATAGAATTCACAGGGAAAAAAGAAATCAGGAAAAGCCCCACTCCCTCCCCCTACTTCACCATGGGCCTAAAATAGAAAATAACAACAGAAACTTCAAGAAAAGAGACCCAGCATGAAACAGAAATGTAAATGTAAACTAAGGCTTTAGAAAAACGTTTTCCAGAGTGTAACTTTATCTGAAGAACCCTGGGAATGGCTGAATTGTATCAAGATTTAGAATTCCAATGGAAAGGTTAAAGCTTTATAATGTATAATCTTTACCATCATACATGAAGAAGAGAGATGTTCATTCACCAGCACAAGGAATTGTTCTGATAACTTATATGAATGTACTCACTGTACGTGGGTGTCTAACTCTACCAAAAGATATTTAAGCTAACCAATAAGTCAGATATGTTCTTAAAAATGCTAAGTGGTTGTTTATGTGTGTTAGATTTTTTCTATGGCATATTAATGTACTTTTCCTGTATGATATGGTGAACTCAGTGATAATAAATATGTGGTGTG